ACAGTTTCAAGGTTTCACATGCTTGTGAAGCCCCTGTCACCCTGGAACCACCCAGCAGCCATGAGGAGGCGGGGAAGGCATCCACAGCCCAGGCATACCATGCTCCGGCCTCTTTAGCAATGGCTAAAGGAGCCATCCCTGGAGGTTTACTTGAAGCTTCTGGAAGCTGAACCTCCTCTGTTAACCTTTTATGTATAAACAATTACTTAGTCTATTACATTCAAGGCCCAATTTCAGGTAATCATCCGGGATGGAGGGAAGCTCTCCTCATTCAGCAAAGAGATTTGGGACCGCAGACCTACCCAGTCTCTCCTGGGTCAGAGTGAAGCAGGACCTGCCAAGTGAGTCCCAGTGTGGTCCAGAAGGCAGAAGTGAATTGCTTCTTCGGTACTGCCCAAGCTTCCCCAGAACTCAGAATTAAAGTCTGAGAGGGGAGGCACAGGCTTTCACCTCAGGGTGCCCAAACTCCGAGAGGGGAGACAAGTCCCGCCCTTAGGGAGTCCCTGCCTTAGAGCTGGGAGAGGCAGGACCCTACCACATTCCAGAGAACAAGACTTGGAATCATGTGAAGATGTACGGGATGTACGTCCTTTTCACATGAAATAGTTTTTATGGTGCGTAACATTTACCATTTTAACCACTTTAATTGTAGAGGTCAGTGGCATTAACAGAGGTGGTCAACATTCACAGTGTTGGGCAACCATTGCCGCTATCCAGCTCCAGGACTTTTTCCTTTTCCCAAACTGAAACTCTGTCCCTATTAAACATAACCCCCCGTCCTTACTTCCCCCAACACCTGGCAACCACCACTCTATTTTCTGTCTCTATGAATTTGACTACTCTAGGTACCTCATATAAATGGATTCATACAGTATTTTTCCTTTTGTGACTGGCTTATTGAACTCAGCATAACATCCTCAAAGCTCATCCATGTTGTAGCATGTGTCAGAATTTCCCTCCTCTTTATGGCTAAAAAATATTCCACTGTATTATATACCACATTATGTTTATCCATTTATCTGTCAATGGATGCTTGTGTTGCTTCCTCTTTTGGTTATTGTAATAATACTGCTATGAATAGCATTATTGCATATATGGGTATACAAATACTTGTTTGAGTTCCTGCCTTCATTATCTTTTAAAGGTTAAGTGGTTTTAAGAATATTAAAGAATGAGAGATCTCACCAACTTTCGGGGTCTTTAAAATTGCATTTCTTGCCCTGGCTGGAGTAGCTCAGTTGGTTGGAATGTTGTCCTGTAACCACAAGGCTGCAGGTTCAATTTCCGGTCAGGGCACATACCTAAGTTGTGGATTCAATCCCCAGTCTGGGTGCCTACAACTCCCGGTCCAGGAGTGTACAGGAGGCAACTGATTGATGCTTCTCTCTCACACTGATGTTTCTCTCTCTCCCTTCCTCTCTCTCTAAAAAACAATTTAAAAAAAGTCCTCTGGTGAGGATAAAAATAAAATTGTATTTCTTGAGCTCTTATCAAATTCGACATACCAAGTTAGGAAAAGGACGGTTACACATAATATTAGTTTATCCCCCAGGGTGGCAGCTGTGGACTTCTATTAATAGAAAGAAGAATCAGGAGATGTGTATAACTTAAATCTACGGAAGCAGACTAAGTTATTGCCTCTCGAAGTTTTGAAGTCATTGTCAAAACAACCATGTAACTAGGGTTCTGCCTGTCCAATCAGAGTCACAGATAAGAACATAGGCAGCCTCCTGGTTTCAAACTATCAGTAGACAATGTCAAGTGCAACTATAAAAGTTGCATATGGCTTTAAGGCCTTTCTCGCTGTCTTGATGAACAGCTCAAAGGACTTTGGGGTTGAGCCTAGGGTGGTTTCAACTCTTTAGCAGTTCTCTCCAACATCTGGAGGTCAAATTTCCATCTTCATTCAGGACCCACTTCTGTTCCAAGGCCCTGGACTGCACGCCAATGCCTCCATTCCAGCCGGGAGGCCAGGTCTCCATGAATAAAATCAGGAGAAAGAACTGTCTTCAGCCTGGGTGGACTGTGTCCTGGGAAGTACTTGACCATGCTTGTGCAGGTGGGTCCTGCAGCCGCTGCAGCCCTGTGGACACAAGGCAATAGCATATGAAAACTGCCATCAAAACGCAGTGAGCCTCTTTTGCCAACTGCAGCTACTTCATAAAATCCTGAAAGCCTAGAAGAGGTCTTTAATCCTCACCACCTTTCAGTTCTCTTCAGTGATGGTAAATAATTATGTAATTGTGGTCTAAGGAATATACAGGTATACATGAATCCACAGAGGGAGTGATGAGGTAAACCAGTCTCTTCCAAATAAAAAGATGTTTATCTCACGTATCCTAAAAGTTCAAAACTCTGGAGAACTGTGACTTCTTTTCTTTCCAAAGGCATGTTTATGTTTCCTGATACTTTCCCTGTTTACAAAATATGAACTTGGACCACTTTTCAAGTTTATATACCATAAGTTTTTTTACCTGACAGTTCATGGGTGTCCTTCCCTCTGTGGATCACAAAACAATTTCAGAAAATGTAAAGAAGAGGTCAGCCCTAAAAGGAAACCAGCTTCCTCATTTCTTCTTTTAGGCAGACTCCTTTTAGTAAACAGTAAAAGTCTTATTTCCAAAAAATCTGAGTTTGTGGTCTTTTCTTTTTAATTTTTAAAAGATTTTATTTATTTATTTATTTATAGGGGAAGGGAGGGAGAAAGAGAGGGAGAGAAACATACATCTCTTGGCCCTCACATGCCTCCAACCCCAAACAGGGGACCTGGCTTGAAACCTAGGCATGTGTCTAGATGGGGAATCAGAGCCAGTGACCTTTGGGTCTGCAGGATGACACCCAACCCACTCAGCCACACCAGTCAGGGCTGAATCTGTGGTTTTATATCACAACAAATGTCACATTTTGAAAGTACTGTACTGGCAAATTAAGAAGAACGATGCTGAAATGTATAACAATTAGGACCCCTTATTTTAAGCTCTCCAAGAACCAATATGATCTATTTGTTTAGTGAACTTTTATTAAATTAACAATAATAAAAAGTTGTATGAGATTAAAAGTATGGACAGGATGGGAAATAAAGGTGGCTGAACTGTCCCTCCAGGGACCTGGGAGTCTCTGCAAAGGTTTGGTGTGTGTTGGTGGAGTGAGTTCTTCAGGCCCATTCCACCGAGGGACAGACCCAGATCCCATTCCCTAGGCCCAGGGAAATGGGACACCTCTCTGCTCTGAAATGTTCATGAGCTGTGGAGTGAAGAAGGGCAGGGGAACAGATGGAATTCCTGGACAATTGTTCCGGCTGTCACCAGAGAGGACAGGCAGGAGGGAGCACTGGATAATTTACAGAGGAACAGATGCTGAGGCGCCTCCGGAACCATCTGGCCAAGAGAGGCCTGGGCGCAGGGTGGATGTTGTCTTTAGATCTGAGTAAACTCCTCAGCCTCCAGCCCACACCATTTCCTCTACCTAAACTGTGGCTTTCCCAGGAGGACTCTGCTCCCTAAGGACCCAGTCCCCGAGTTCCACCTGGCTCTCATTCCACTCCTTTCTTTTCTGTTCTGTCTTTGCTACCATTCTTGATAGGTCCAAGTCTGGCCTTGAGGGCCTGAAATACATTTTATTCTGTAGTATTCTCTCTCTCTCTCTCTCTCTCTCTTTTTTTTTTTTTTTACTAATTTTTGAGAAATAGAGAGAGAGACAGGGACAGAGGCATCAATTTCTTGGTCCACTTATTTATGCATTCACTGGTTGACTCTTGCATGTGCCTTCACCAGAGAACTAACCCACAACCTTGGTGCATCAAGACACTGCTCTAACCAACTGAGCTATCCGGCCTAGGCCTATTTTGTAGTACTTTTAACCTCTCTCCTCACCACCCCCATATTCCAAAATCCCTTTGTCACTAATCTCCATGATATTTATTAATTCAATAACCATTTATTGAACACCTACTATGCTAGGAATTGTTTTAAACACTGGGGCTACCGTAATGAGAGAGAAAAAGTCCCAGACCTGTGGAATTTGCATTATAGAGGGAAATGGTAAATAAATAAAGATATATTTAATATGTCGGGTAAGAATAAGTGTTATGAAACAAAAAAATTAAGGCAGGGTAAGAAAGTGTGGCTGAGGATGCTGTTTAAGGTAGAGTGGCCAGGGAAGGCTTCTCTGAGGCAGTGACATATGAGCAGAGACGTGAAGGGGAGTGAATATCTGGAGGAATAACATTCCAGGCACAGGGAAGAGCAAAGTTAAAGCCCCGGAGGCAGAATTATGCTTAGTGCACTAGAGGATGTCATGCTATTTATTCGTTAAGCAAGTACTGTGTGCCAGGCACCCACTGGGAAATGGGAAATATGAAGATGCAATCAGACACAGTCTGCCTTGCAGGAGCGTCAGCTTAATAAGGGGTACAGCATGTAAATTAATAATGACAGCACAGGTCAACTACGATGAAATTTTGTGCAAGTGCAAAAGAAGCACCAAATCCAGGGGGTTTGGGGAAGGGTTTCTGGAGGAGGTGACAATTTGAGTTGAGGGCTGAAGGAGAGGCCTTGGGCATTTTGAGACCTGAATGCACACGACAACTGAGAACCTGCAGTCCCCGGGGGGGAAGTGGAAAATTAGGCTGGTGAATGTGAAAGAGGCTGGATTATGCGGATCTCTGTGTGACAATCTGAGAAGCTACTTTTATTCTTTGGATAATGGGGAAACAGTGCTAAGACTTCCCCACCATATTTTTATGCTGTTTTCCCCTATTCTCCCTCGTTCTCTCTCTCTCTTTTTTTTTTTTTTTGTGATTACCAGAATCTTTCCTCATCTTTCCCGCTATTGCCCTACTTCTACACTACCTTCCTGCTTCAGCGGCCAGACCTTCAAACCCTGCTCTTAGGAGGTACCTACCTTTCCGTAGCACCGGGTGCCCAGGCCGGGGCCACGCCCCCTACCACGCCCCCTACCACGCCCCCGGTGACGCACGGCGCCTAGTGCGTGGGGATTCCCGTGTCGTGGCTACTACCCGGCCTGCCCCGCGAGAAGATGGCGGCCTGAAGGCAGCGGGCAGCGGCAGAAAGTTTGTTGTGGGATTGGAGTAGTCGGGCTGGGAGGCTGGGGCTAGGGGAGGAAATTGTGGGAACACTAGCATGGAGTAGGGGCAGAGAAGAGACTAGCTCCGGAGTTGAGAAGAAGAAATGGAGTGGCGGAATGTTCTAGGGGGCAAAAAGAAAAAGGAGATTGGGTGGGAAGGGAGGGGCCCTAGGATCTAATGGCAGCCCTGGGGGAGGGGTCCAGGGCGGGGTACGAGAAGTAGGTATGCAGGCTATGGAGAAGCAGAGGCACAAATTGAAGGGGAATTTTTTTTTTTAACCGAGATTAAAGAAGCCTGGAGCTTGTGGCCGAGGTCCGACTGTACCCGGCTGGTGGGAGAGGAATGGGGTCTTCCCCGTGGAGGAGCTTAGTGGGGAAGGGGAAGGAGAAACCTGGAGGATGCTGGGTAGGTTTGGTAAGGGAGGAACTAAAGCCAGTCAAATGAACCTCTTCCACACTTAAATCAGCCTTTCCACAGTTCTTATAGAAGCATCTGTCCCAATTTCAGCCGAAGACTCAGGGGCCCCAGGGACTGGAAGAATCTCAGTGCCTGCTTGGAAGAAGAGGTAGCGACTTGCCCAAGCCCAACCCCAGAGCGGGTAAGGTGGCCTCTGGTGACAGGCTGTCATGCACCCCGGAAGCAGGATGCATGGGCTCCGAATGATGCTGAGAATCATTTAATCTGAGGAGGGCGCTCTTCTATAGAGGTTGCCCTTTGCCTGTGGTCCCTAAATTAGTGTTCTGCTTAGATTGCATGGTGATTTTTGAGAATTGGATGTAGAATTTAGCCTTGTGTGCCTTTAGCCATGCAAGCGAACATGGGCAAGGGCCTAGAGATCAGGTTGAAAATATTTTCATACATCCCTGTCACAAGCAGCTTCCTACATGTTCACTGTATCTTCTTCAGTCTTCCCGTCACATCTTCAGTTTGGCATCTTGCCTGAAGTGGAGATTTGTGGGTGACATGGGGATTCATGAGAAAACATTTTTGATGGTGTTCACTGACCAATTAAGTACCCACTGTCACCAACTCCTGAATTCACTCTTGCAGCATTTTTACTTTTTTTGATTTTTTTTCTTTTGGTAAGAAGGACTCATTAGTGTTCTTGCGAATGTGGATTTGGTGGTAGGTTGGGTCAGAGGAGGAAGACAGACAGGCAGGGATTAGGGAGACAAAATCCGGGTCAGTTAATGGTAAGATGTCACGCTGATTGGTGTAAAGCTCTAGGAATGTTTATTACCTAACTCTCTGAGACCCCTGTTACTTGAAAACTGCTTTACAGCCTGGATCAATGTGATGATGGAAAAAAAGGACTGTGGAACTTGCCCTTTTCTCTTCTGGTAGCTTGTTTTTCTTTTGTATTCTCCTCATCAGACCACATTTTTAAAAAACTCAAGTTTATTAGCCAGACTAAGCCTGGCTTTAGAGCTAGTGGACTTGGGGTTGGAGGAAAAGAAAGGGGTCTGGAGCCACAGAATGCAGTGAGTATGGTCCTCACTTGCTCTGATGCTGTGTTATTATACCCAAGCCAGAGTTGAAAGTAGGCTTCTTACTGAAGTCTGTTTCAGGGCTGACATCTGTTCTGTGACTGGACTGGAAGGTCAGGTTTGATCTAGGACATCTCACTAAGCATCTCCTGCTCCCTGCTCCCTCTCAGAATGTCTGACTCCAGACAGACCAGTGCAAATCACTGTTACTAGGCTAGCTTCGGTACTTTCAGGTACCTGAAGCACTGAAGCTATTTAGCTGTGATCCATTAGGAGGTTAGGAACCTTTGCTTTCTGAGGAAAGTTTGTGAATGTCCTCTTGGAAATTTTGATCAGCAAGGACAGTGTATTGAGTGCACCTATAGGTTAAGAACAGTGACTTAGGAGCCTGGCTGCGTAGTTCATGTCCTGGCTTTGCCATTTGTAGCTCTGTGACCTTTAGAAATTACATAGTGCTCTGTGGCTCAGCTTTTTCATCAACCAAATGGGTTTGGTAAAAGTACCTATCTTGTAGAGTTGTTATGAAGGTTAAATAAGTTAATACATTAATGCATTTAGAACAGTACCTGCCCCTCAAGATGTATTTGTTGTTTTTATGCTAGATCTCAGCACTAAATTCTGCTTCATGATCGAACTTGTAGTCTCTCTGTGAAGAACCTGTATTTGTTTGGGCTGCCATCCTGATGTTAGAGGAAGTACAGCTTTTTGATCTCTTTAAAGTGATGTTAAAATGCCAATGATTTCTTGCTGAAGCTTTGAAGCTGTAGAATTATCTTCTTTGCAGGTGAGAGATAATAATAATAGTGCTGATTGAGCACATTTTATGTGCCTGGCACTGTTGTGAGTGCTTTAAGTGTATTAACTAATTTTTTTAGCAACCCTATGAAGTAGATACTGCTATTTTCCCCATTTTACAGATGAGTAAATAGAGGTGCAGAATGGTTAAGTAATTTGCTCAAGATCCACAGGCTAATAAGTGGCAAATCTGGGATTTGATACCAGGCAATCTGGCTTGGCAATTGACCCCCTTTTTTGGGATCTACTATAAAGTGGACTTTTAAATATGCCTAGTGGCAGTTTGCCTCTGTGTTTGTAGTGATGGTTAGATGTATACCCATATGGTAGTAACATTTTTTTTGTTATTTAAAAAATGTTTTAGCCCTGGCTGGTGTGGCTTAGTGGATTGAGCTCAGGCCTGCAAACCAGAAGGTTGCCAGTTCAATTCCCAATCAGGGCACATGCCTGTGTTGCGAACTGAGAGGCAACCCATCAATGTTTCTCTCTCACATTGATGCTTCTCTACCTCTTTCCTTTCTCCTTCCACTCTCTCTAAAAATAAATAAAATATTTTTAAAAATAAAAAATGTTTTAGGAACTGAGCTCTTCATCACAGCTGTCTCCTTCCTCTTAGAGATAATAATTGTGCTGGGACTGTGGTGACAGAGACCTCTGTGCCATGTAAGCCAAATCTGGACTCTGTCTTCATGATTGAGCTCGGCCTGTGAAGAACCTTGGGCCTGGGTCGGGTGAGCAGACTGACGTTAGGACCCACTCTCAGCATGGCTTAACAGAGAGAGAGAGTGAGAGAGAGAGAGAGAGAGAGAGAATTAATGTACATATACATATAAGGCTCATTTCTGACTTTCATTACTGACATGAGCAGTTGAAACAGCTGTAGTGTTAAATTCACGAGCAGTCTGGAAGCATCTTTCTTTTAAAAATAGCAAGTAGCAAACGATATAGGAAAAAAAAACTACATGGCATTTTAAACAGTTCCTTCCTCCCACCTTAAAAGGAAAACGGAAAATGAATGTGTCTCTGCTGAGGCTTGTGTTGCTGAGAAAGACCGTGGCTCAGTGCTCAAGCCTTTTTTCCTTTAGCCAGGTGGGAGGCCTTAGTGCAGCCTTGGGGCAGAGGTGTGCCCAAGGTTTGATAGACTGGCTTTCCTTTGCCCTGTATTGAAGACTCACTCTTCCCGTCCTTCTGAGTCATGTCCTGTCTATTTAACTCACCCGCAGGGCCCATCTTTTTCTTTAGTAAATGACTCTCCACCCTGCCACGAGAGTAGGCACACGCCCAGTGTCTAACCAGATTTCAGAGAATTGGGGGGTCAGGAATTAGGGCTTTCCCTAGGAATTCCTACGCAGCCCTGTGATGAACTTTTTGTTGTGGCGCACGTGATTTTGTCAGTCTCTGCTGCCCTCCTCCATCAACTTGGGAGCCACATATCTCAGGATAGTGTACTTTATCTTGTGTTGCAGGAAGCATGCTGAGACATGTCATCTCCATAGAGCACATCTTTTTGTTTTGGTAGAAGCCCTCAGACTTTCTCAATTTGGGTCACATTTTAGCAAATAATTAAACTACAGGGTGAAGTCTGATGGATTTTTGAGCTGATTCTCCCCCTTTACTGTTTTCTTTTAGTTGTCTAAATCAGTTTCTTCCCATAACACCCCTTATTCATGTGTTAGCTTTGAATCTATACATTCACATCCTTACCACTTTGGGTGCCAAGGACCTCTGAGTAAACCAGCCCTTCATTTCTCACCTGGATTCAGCCTCTTAACAGTGCTCTGAACTTACCTCATTCTAGGTTCTGGGCATCTGCGAGTGCCGGTCCTGCTATCTGGAATGCATTCCCCCTCTTCCCTTTACTTTCCTTTTTGTCCTTCACATCTCAGTTTAAATGCCACTTCCTTTGGGACCCCACCCCCCATTAACTGCCCTTTTTCTGTGCTTCCGTTTTTAACATTTAGCCTGTATTGTAATTGTCTATTTACTTATCTGACTCTTATAAGACTGTAAGTGCCCTGAGAAGAGACTGTATTTTATTCATTATTGTATTTTCTTTTTTTAAATACGTATTTTATTGATTATGCTGTTAGAGTTGTCCCATTTTTTTTTCTCCTCTCCATTCCCCTCCTCCCTGCATACCCCCTCCCCGCTTCCACCAGCATGTCCTCCCCCCTCCCCCGCCCCCCAAGCCTTAGTTCAGGTCCATGGGTCCTACATATAAGTTCTTTGGCTTCTCCATTTCCTATACTATTCTTAACCTTCTCCTGTCTATTTTGTACCTACTATTTATGCTTCTTATTCCCTGTACCTTTTCCCCATTCTCCTCCCTACCCTCCCCTCTAATATCCATTCTGTGATTCTGTTCCTGTTCTAGTGGTTTGCTTAGTTTGCTTTTTTTTTTTTTAGGTTCAGTTGTTGATAGTAGTGAGTTTGTTGTCATTTTACTGTTCATAGTTCCTGATCTTCGTCTTTTTCTTAGATAAGTCCTTTAACATATCATATAACATGGGCTTGGTGATGAACTCCTTTAATTTTACCTTATCTGGGAAGCACTTTATCTGCCCTTCCATTCTAAATGATAGCTTCACTGGAGAGAGGAATCTTGGATCTAGGTCTTTGCCTTTCATGACTTTGAATACTTCTTGCCAGCCCCTTCTTGCCTGCAAGGTTTCTTTTGAGAAATCAGCTTATAGTCTTATGGGAACTCCTCTGTAGGTAACAGTCTCCTTTTCTCTTGCTCCTTTTAAGATCCTCTCCTTATCTTTAATCTTGGGTAACAATTATGATGTGCCTTGGTGTGTGCTTCCTTGGGTCCAAATTCCTTGGGACTCTCTGAGCTTCCTGGATCTCCTGGAAGTCTTATTTCCTTGGCCAGACTGGGGAAGTTCTCCTTCATTATTTTTTCAAATAATTTTTCAATTTCTTGCTCTTCCTCTTCTCCTTCTGACACCCCTTTGATTTGGATGTTGGAATGTTTAAGGTCCCAGAGGTTCCTAAGCCTTTCCTCATTTTTTTGAATTCATGTTTCTTCATTTGTTCTGGTTGAATGTTTATTTCTTCCTTATGCTCCCAATCGTTGATTTGAGTCCTGGTTTCCTTCCCTTCACTCTTGGTTCCCTAAACATTTTTCTTTATTTCACTTTGCATAGCCTTTACATTTTCCTCCATTTTGTGACCATTAAACTAATTCTGGAGCATCCAGATTACCAGTGTTTTGAACTGTGCATCTAATAGATAGGTTGGCTATCTTTTCATTGCTTAGTTCTATTTTTGGAGCTTTGATCTGTTCTTTCATTTGCACCATATTTTTTTGTCT